TGATTGATCGCGTCAAGAATGAGCCCTATTTCAGACCCATTAAGGACCAAATAGACTCTCTTATGGATCCCAAGACATTCATCGGCAGAGCTCCCAATCAAGTGCTTGAATTCATTGAACATGAGGTCAATCCTGTATTATTGCCGTACAAATCACACCTTGAAGGGCAGGCACACCTCAATATTTAGACACTGTTTTATGGCTTATGTTTTAAACACCGAAAGTTTAATTTTTAAGACAATTATTATTGTCAACATTTTTATGCCATAAATAGTTTATTTTAATGCTAACTAAACAAGATTTTAGATATTAATAAAGAATCGAAACAACTATTTATTGTGTTTTAAATGAATTCAATGTGTGTTTAACAGCAATAAAAAACAAACGATAACTAAAAATACTTTTAAAAACTTAAAAACGATAGAAATAATGCAAATTAAGATCACAGCGAAATGTCACCGAATTGTTGGTTCCAATCGTAGTACTGCTGTAGTGTACTGTCGGCCACACTCTTACGGATCCGTTTCAACGACTGCTTGAAGTCATCGACATTAATGGGACGCATTCTGTTGGGGTTGCAGTGCTTGACCTGTTCGATCTCCATCTCCCGGATGGGTCCCAGAGCCGCATCTTTGGCCAGATTTGTCAGATCACTGCCGCTGTAGCCCTCGGTCTGAGCGGCCAATTGTCCCAATTCTCGTCGAGACAACGGATTGTTTTGTTTTCGCATCAGTTTCTCGAGAAGTGTGATTCGAGTTTCATAATCGGGTAATGATATGTATATTCGTTTTGAGAATCGCCTGTAAAAGTCATTCATTTTCATGAGTCAACGGCTATTAGAATATGCAATATATGTATGAATACAGACCTGAGGGCCGCGTCATCGAGTTCTTGTGGTCTATTAGTGGCGCCCATAACTAGAATCCTTTCCTCGTTTGTCGAATGGATTCCATCGAATTCAATGAAGAACTCAGTCTTCAGGCGACGACTGGCCTCGTGTTCGTTCTCTCGCCGTTCACTCA